CTGAGTTCGGTACGATAACAGGTCAGGTAAGATAACAAAAATCGCCCCTATGATATTATCCGATGCAAACTGTCATCCTAATAATAATTCTATTGTTTGTAAATATTTTTTTCCTTTGTAGAGGATGGGCTGTTCCTGAAAGTACTGCAATATCAGGGCAACCCGTGGCCAGGACGGAGCAAGCTCCTATTCCAAGGCCTAATTCTAAAAATCAGTTTAATACTCGAAGCTACTCAATGAGCAGCGTTTCAGATATTAAGCTGAAAAGAACAGATATTACACATGATCTTAGCCAAAAGGCCGAGAAGCGATGCTGGAATAACAGTACCAATGCTATTAATATAAAACAACAGAACGCTAAAATATTGGTGTTGGAAATGCTTTTTCTTTACTTCATATCGTAATAGAAATGTACTTAAATTACGTGTTGAGTCTAACTCAAGAGTTTTGTAAGTTACTGCATGCACATATTTTCGTAGGATATTTTATTAATTTATCTATCCTAGGTAGCCTCTGTATCGGCTTCATCTCATATATTCATGTTTATGTAAAATAGTTTAAAATCTGCGCTCTTGGGAAAAAAAATACTTTCACTATATATGTGATTTTATGTTACAAGAAAACGTACTGAGTTCGTTACGATAACAGGTCAGGTAAGATAACAAAAATCGCCCCTATGATATTATCCGATGCAAACTGTCATCCTAATAATAATTCTATCGTTTGTAAATATTTTTTCCTTTGTAAAGGATGGGCTATTTCTGAAAGTACTGCAATATCAGGGCAACCCGTGGCCAGGACGGAGCAAGATCCTATTCCATGGCCTAATTCTAAAAATCACTTTAATATTCGAAACTACTCAATGAGCAGCGTTTCAGATATTAAGCTGAAAAGAACAGATATTACACATGCTCTTAGCCAAAAGGCCGAGAAGCGATGCTGGAATAACAATACCAATGCTATTAATATAAAACAACAGCACGCTAGAATATTGGTGTTGGAAATGCTCTTCACCTCATATCGTAATTGAAATGTACTTAAATTACGTGTTGAAATATATGTAATAAAATATTTCGAAATCCTAACTCAAGAGTTTTGTAAGTTATTTTATGCACATATTTTCGTAGGATATTTTATTAATTTATCTATCCTAGGTAGCCTCTGTATCGGCTTCATCTCATATATTCATGTTTATGTAAAATAGTTTAAAATCTGCGCTCTTGGGAAAAATACTTTCACTATATATGTGATTTTATGTTACAAGACAACGTAGGTTACTGAGTTCTTCGGTACGATAACAGGTCAGGTTAGATAACAAAAATCGCCCCTATGATATTACCTGACGCAAACTGTCATCCTAATAATAATTCTATTGTTTGTAAATATTTTTTTCCTTTGTAGAGGATGGGCTGCGCCTGAAAGTACTGCAATATCAGGGCAACCCGTGGCCAGGACGGAGCAAGCTCCTATTCCATGGCCTAATTCTAAAAATCAGTTTAATACTCGAAGCTACTCAATGAGCAGCGTTTCAGATATTAAGCTGAAAAGAACAGATATTACACATGATCTTAGCCAAAAGGCCGAGAAGCGATGCCGGAATAACAGTACCAATGCTATTAATATAAAACAACAGAACGCTAAAATATTGGTGTTGGAAATGCTTTTTCTTTACTTCATATCGTAATAGAAATGTACTTAAATTACGTGTTGAAATATATGTAATAAAATATTTCGAAATCCTAACTCAAGAGTTTTGTAAGTTATTTTATGCACATATTTTCGTAGGATATTTTATTAATTTATCTATCCTAGGTAGCCTCTGTATCGGCTTCATCTCATATATTCATGTTTATGTAAAATAGTTTAAAATCTGCGCTCTTGGGAAAAAAAAATACTTTCACTATATATGTGATTTTATGTTACAAGAAAACGTACTGAGTTCGGTACGATAACAGGTCAGGTAAGATAACAAAAATTGCCCCTATGATATTATCCGACGCATACCTGACGCAAACTGTCATCCTAATAATAATTCTATTGTTTGTAAATATTTTTTTCCTTTGTAGAGGATGGGCTGTTCCTGAAAGTACTGCAATATCAGGGCAACCCGTGGCCAGGACGGAGCAAGCTCCTATTCCATAGCCTAATTCTAAAAATCAGTTTAATACTCGAAGCTACTCAATGAGCAGCGTTTCAGATATTAAGCTGAAAAGAACAGATATTACACATGATCTTAGCCAAAAGGCCGAGAAGCGATGCTGGAATAACAGTACCAATGCTATTAATATAAAACAACAGAACGCTAAAATATTGGTGACGCTAGAATATTGGTGTTGGAAATGCTCTTACTTCATATCGTAATAGAAATGTACTTAAATTACGTGTTGAAATCCTAACTCAAGAGTTTTGTAAGTTACTGCATGCACATATTTTCGTAGGATATTTTATTAATTTATCTATCCTAGGTAGCCTCTGTATCGGCTTCATCTCATATATTCATGTTTATGTAAAATAGTATAAAATCTGCGCTCTTGGGGAAAAAATACTTTCACTATATATGTGATTTTATGTTACAAGAAAACGTACTGAGTTCGGTACAATAACAGGTCAGGTAGGGCAAAAAAAATCACCCCTATGATATTACCTGACGCAAACTGTCATCCTAATAATAATTCTATTGTTTGTAAATATTTTTCCTCTGTAGAGGATGGGCTGTTCCTGAAAGTACTGCAATATCAGGGCAACCCGTGGCCAGGACGGAGCAAGCTCCTATTCCATGGCCTAATTCTAAAAATCAGTTTAATATTCGAAGCTACTCAATAAGCAGCGTTTCAGATATTAAGCTGAAAAGAACAGATATTACACATGATCTTAGCCAAAAGGCCGAAAAGCGATGCTAGAATAACAATACCAATGCTATTTTCGTACAACATATAGATGTGATGATCATATTTTTACTCTCAAAAACGTGGCAGCTTGCCGGCTAAATGAAAACAAACACACTTATATGGCCTTCTTGGACTTTCGAAAAGCTTTTGACAGCGTTTGGCGTAATGACTTACTTAAAGCTGTTTGGTTATCGGGTATTAGGGGAAAGATTTGGAGAATGATTGATAAACTTTATGCAGGGTTAATGGTATAGTTAGACTCGGAGTTACAGACACAGAACTCTTTGAGATTGAACAAGGAGTAAAGCAAGGCTGCGTCTTATCTCCAATCTTGTTTAACATTTTTAACATTTTTATGAATGAATTTAAAAAGATTCTTGTTTCAAATGATCTTGGTATCAGAGTGAATGACACGTGGGTAGGGGGATTATTCTGGGCTGATGATGTTGTCTTATTATCAAATAATGAGCATGAAATGACAAAGATGCTCAATCTTGCAACATTTGCTAAAACATGGAAATTAAATTTTAATTTCGACAAATCTAATATTCTAATTTTCGGAAAAAGAATTGATAAAGAAAAACAATGGAAGTTAGGTGATGGTTTCATTTTGGAAGCGGAGACATACAAATATCTTGGGGTTATAATATCCAGGAAACTAAATGATAATGTACAATTCCAGAATGTAATTACAAAGTGCAATAGACTAATTGCTTATATTAAATCATTGATTGATAACTGTAATAATTTTAATAGGATATACTATGGGGATATTTTATGGAGAACAATTGGTCTCCCATCTATAAATTATGGTTCAGCTGTGTGGTGTTCCCTAAATAAGTCAGATATTGACAAACTTGAACAATTACAATTGCAGATGGCACGCTATATTCTTAGAGCAACTAGAAATACCCCACGTGCAACTTTGTATGGTGAACTTGGCTGGCTGCCAATTAGTGTTATGCACGATATTTCGCGCATAAAATATTTTCATCGCATTATACATATGGAATCACATCGGTGGCCAAAACTTTTACTTAAGGCTTTATTACACATGGATAGTAACTTTGATAATTTCCGTTTTAAATTTCTTAAATGTGTTTCCAATGTTTTCTCAAAATGTGAATCAGTAAATTTATTTAAATTAATATGTGATACCATTGATTATCCCATCGGAAATTGGACCAACTTCATTTTAA